ACATCTCTGACCCTTACGATTGACTGAAATGAGCACAGGATCTTAGGGAGCACTTGGATATTTCCAAATAAGCCTAATTCAGAGTTCCTCAAAACCAACAGAGATACTCCTTTCCTCCCCAAACCTCATGAGCTCCGGTTAAGGTGCTTTACATTTATATTTTCCAATATCTGCAAGGTAACATATTCAGGGATTAATTTTTTAAGTCTCTGATGACATTTTTCAATAATAGGAAAGCATACCGACTGGGCAGTGACCATCAATGGCGAAGCACCATTGATGCTACAAGAGCTAAGCCTGCATGACAAGGCGAAAAATACGAAAAAGCACGTGATTGCCTGCCATCAGTTTGAAAAGCTTGACCAGAAAGTCATTAATTGACTTCAGCCTACAGAGCCTTGCCAACAAAACAGAAATAGGTGGAAAGGACCAAACTAAAAGTATTCACAGAAGCATTCCTCTTGTATTGCCTGTCCCTCAGAATAATTCAGAAAGTTTTAACTTCAATGAATAAACCCTAAAATTGGCATTAAATGTTGGATCAGTTTCTGTTTCACCACAAAAGTTAGCCCTAGCAGCACGTCCCTTGTAGCAAACAGAGCTTTCTGGAAGGGCTGGTCACAATAGCACAAACCCAGGCGTAGTTTGTAAAATTTGTTTTTGACAACTGTATGCAGTAGTTAAACCAAAACAGTTGTCCTGGAAATCTCTTTCTGGCCAAGTTGTCCTAGCAATGCTGAGTTCCTTCAGCAAGGAAGGAGATGGGGAACGTTTGGAGCCCATGCTGAGAAGCAGAGACAGAGCCCAGGGTGAACTCTCGATCGCAGGCTCAACATCTTTCTCTGAAAATGGAAGGGTCACGCACGGTCGTAAAGACACAAGGCCGCTCTGAGACCTATAAATGGCGAATCCTCTGTTTAACTGATCAGTGCAACAGATCTTTGAAGCACATCCGTGCATGAGGTACTGCATTACCCTTGGATTGCATATCTCCTGTGGGTTCCTTGTGGTATGGAACACAGATGTACGCACACACGCTTCCCATCCGTCACTTCCACTCCCAATAATAGCAAAAATAAACATAAAAAATAATATTAAAAAAACTCTGTATTCAGTAATATTCACACCAAAGTATATGTATAGATATAGCCATTAAAATTATGAACATTTCTAAATATATTTTATGTATCATACATATATTTATATGTATAATTACATATCCACAGAAGTAGTCTTGCTGTGCTAAAGCCAGCAGTAAAAGCAAAAACAGGTTTCACAATAGGACACCCATATATGCATATGTACTGGCTGTTTGGGTTGTGAATTTATTTACAACTTAACTATATCATAATAAATGCTTACTGTTCTATTGTACAAACATAATAGTAAAGGTTTAGGTTTGTTTTTTAAATACAAAGACTGCAAATGAATACATGAAAAAAATTACACACCATGTACAGTATTTATAATTTATAAATGCAAAGTTAAGACCTCTTTAAATTATTGCACTTGCATATTTTTTGTTTTGCTTTTTTTTTACAAAGACAGTTTATATGTATCTTATATATATATATGTATGTGTAAATATATATATATAAAACAAACTTTTCAGCTCACTAAATGTAGTAAAGTTGAATGTTGTTAACCTTGAAGTTCGTTCTTCTTCACATAACAGCCCAACCTGAATTTTGAATACATATGAATCTACTCTACAAATCAGTTTGACCTACCCTAGAAAGCAGTCCATTATTTTAGGTTTTTTGACAGAGTATACACCCGTATTACAATCGAGCACAGTTTTTGGTCAGAAAGCAAAATAAGAGTTATGATGTGCCTTTGCTAGATCGGGATATGGAACCTAAAGTCTGAACATGAACTTCCTTGCGGTAGTGTGCAGAAAGCCTTCTCTGTGTTTCAAATGAACAAAATTAATTGCTCCACTTCACAGAACTCTTCCTATATCACAGTGTTTGAGGCAAATGCATTATTTCAAGGGGGTCATAATTGTTTTGATCATCTAACAACCTCTACTTTTTAACAAGAATAGCGCTATTTGCTATCCCTACAATTTTAACACTAAATGCTCTAAATGCAGTCACAGCAAACTGATCACACCCTTCGAAGTTTAAACACATGAAAAAAAGTCTGTGCCAATAAAAAGACAATTTCTGCGCTTCATGTCCCTTCCAATGTAAATGTTTTATCATATACTCCAACTCAAAAACTGCATTGCATTTCTCTAATGTGATAAATGGCGACCTATAAAAAAAATACTGCCATGAGTTAAGCCGTTATAGCAGAATATTGTACTACTGTACAAAATTCATAGATTAATTACAACAGCGGAGTTTCTGTCAGTGCTGTAATAAAATATGCAACATCGCAGATGTGTATCAGGCTATGTCAACTATTCCTCCCAGTGCATACCTTTCAGGCACCATTTCACAACACATTAGAAATGCTCAGATACGGCTCCAAACAGTCCTTTTAGCTTTACCGGGCTTAGAAGGGAAAAGCAATTGAAATTATTAACAAAAATAATGCAATTCTGGGAGTATAAAGTCTAACACTTCTATGAAGGAGAAATCTGTTACCTTTTTTTAGACATTCTTACTGATCTTGGGAAAGATCAGTTTTATCAGGGTAAAAATGCAAGGAAGAATGGCTTTCGGCAGTTTACCTTAATGAGCCAGATGTCTTGCAGATCTAGATGTCTTACTGCTCTATTTGTGAGTCCAAGTCCAGAATTCTGAACAATGAAATCTCAACACGTACTTGAGCCATGAAATTCAAATGCAGCTTCAAAGTCTTAATTTTCGGTGGTTTTGACTTTGGAAGTGCAGGTGTAAGTTTGTTTCTTAAAAAAAAAAAAACAACAAACAACAAAAAAAACCACATCTAAATCTGCACTCTGTCAATGCTAAGACAGACTAAATTTGCTCAGAAAATACAGCCCATTGTGGCTATTTTTGTTTGTCTAGGTGCTAACAAAGAGAAACATTTTATCATGATCTTTCTCCTTTTACGCACCAGGAAAGCAAACCAAACCACAAACACTGGAGCCAATATTTTTAACTCTAATGGACATAATTCTGTAGCAACCATGTACTTTATGTTGTTTAGATAGTTCTATATTAGAATCAGCACCTGATTGACTCAAGACATTAATAGAACAACTTGTTGCCAATTTGAAAAACTTGTTAGGGATGCATGTTCTGTATCAGTACTTAAAAACTTCAAAACATAAAATATTATCTGATGCTGCCAAATATTTTGAATGGGAAGTAACAGAACTAGTGAAGTTATCTTTACTGTCAATGAGTAGAGGATGAATTAAAAGCTTTCCATAACACAGACACAGTGTGCCAAGGAATATTTTTGCAATGCTTGTAAGATCAGCACTCAAAGATGGAGAATAACAGCAAATATACTTAACCCATGAAGGAAAAATGTTCCACCCAGCTGTTAGGGTATCTGAATTTCAGAGTATTTTTGTGGTCACCATAGATTTGGATCATTTTCATGTAAATATTAGGAACCGTGGATTGTGTTTCAAGTAGCGGATGAAAGGATGCATCTATAAGATTTAGTTAGAACTGTTAAGGAGTAAAGTAGAGGACACAGCATGAAATACTATTCATTCTACTCTGGTGTCATTGTTTCTTAACTTTTTTTTTTTTATTATTCCAAAATAGTTTGCTGTGGTTAACAATGAATTTCTGCATTTAAAATTTGCAAAGCAAACTGAAAAAAAATGATGGGGCTGCTGCTAGGTAACCTGTATCATACAAATGAGAGAACTTCATATTGAATTCTCAACCTCTGGGACATCTGTGTACTCCAAAGGCTCAGGAGCATTTAAACATTATGTGATTATGTATCACATACTGTACAGATGTAGAGATACTGGTACGTGCTCGACCATAACAGAAGGCAAAACTCAAGAGTCCAAGTCATTTCCATGAAACCCATAAGATGGAATGCTTATTAGAGCAATACAGCTCAACAGACATGAGATGGAAAAAGAGAAGCTGTGTTCTATCTTCAAGTCACACAAACAGCCATGTTATCGTGGAACCACTACAAGAGCATTATCTGTGACAATGCATTTAATGCAGTATAGGCTTTATGTGAAAGGTTTGCAAAGACTGTGTCTTTAACCTACTGTGTGGATCCCTAAGAAGACTTTTTTCACATTATTTTTAAGTGAAAGATGAAGGCAAATTAAGTGTTGTTGAAACATACCCTGTACAATGGCACTAAATTTAAAAGAGTGGCATTAAATGTAAGGTCTTAAAGTCTGCGCAGAAGTTTGTAAGGCTGAAGCCTAAGTCAGCACAGAACTGTAAACACAATATTTTAGAGTATTTTTCTTCAGTCAGCTATTCTTTCACTAAAAAAGGCAGTTCTAAGCCTGGAAATTTTGCTGAACTAAGGAAAAAAAATGAACAGACAAATGGAGAAATTTCCTAATTTCATCCATCCTGGGATGGGGGGAAAGAGCAGGTAGAAGACATGCAGTGTTACTGTGCAACACAAAAGCTAGTCAATACTAAACCATTTTTGATTTATTGTGATGGTACCACAATCACTCTTCTCAGACTTCACTCTTCTGACAAAGCTTTTGTTCCCAGCAGATAGCTTCATGTTTGTCTCTAATATCTTTTTAAAATACAACTCAGCAGGTAGAAATAAAAATTATGACTTTACTTAATTGTGAGCTAGGCAAGGTGTCACATTTAAATTTTAATCTGATACTTCTGTCACTATGGATACAAAAACCTCCAACTTGAAACTGTCGTTCATATCAGAGATAAATTTCCAGTACTTCCAGTGTTTTAAGGGAGGAGTTGTCTAGGTTTATAAATCATTCTGAAGAACAAAGCACTATCACCAGTTCTTTCAACGTTTGCCTTGTGAGTGACAGACAATTTGCATCATGATGCTTAATGAAGTACTTTAAAACTTGAACCTGAATGTTGCCTTTCTTTCAGTTTGCAGGAAAAGAATTCACCATAACCTAAGAATGAATTATCGTCTCCAAGGATTCTGCTGGAGTTCAAACTGATTACAAGTAGATCACACATAAACACTCACAATAGCGATGGGTATATTGTTCTATTTATAGCCAAGAACTCCCAAGTGACACTGGTGTTAAAGCCGGCCACGGTATGGTATAATAAAAGTACCATTGAAACCCTTACTAGAAAGATACAATTTAGAAGTACTCCCTAAGACTTCACCACCCCCCATCAGTTTTAAATTAAGGCCTCAGCAATGTAGCCCATGAGATAAGGCCAGTCTTTTATATTCACAAGTGGAAAGTTCTCTTATGACAGTTGATTCCAAAACATCTGGGTTGTCGTTTTCCCTCTGTTCACCTTGTGTCACTGGTGTAGGTCAGGAGATTGGCTGTCAGAGTCATTTAGCTGAGGTGACACCATGGGTGTTACCTTCCTAGGCAGATCTGCTTCTCAGTTAGCATGTTGTAGCTTTTCTTTTTCCTTTTTTTTTTTTTTTTTTAAATAGAAACAAAACAAAACAAAAAACCACCCCCCCAAACAAGAATGGATGCTTTTCGGGTTAAAGCAATCTGTTGTTGCTGTTCAGTCATCGATCTTCACAGGAAGTGAATCTGAGGTCCCAGGAGCAAGAGACTGGGAGGAAATCCATATAGAGGGTTCCTCACCTCTTGTTACTTTCTCCCATTGGTTGAGATTGTCCCTGGAAGGGCAAAAAAGTCAGAGATAAAGCACTGTTCATAAGTCTACTGGGATTTCTTACTGTACTATACTTTGAGATGCATCTGTAGGTAAGTACCTGTATGTCATCAAGCTTTTAACATCTTTATTTTATCCTTCACCTTCAGTTGCACCATTTTGTAATTCTGTATGTCTTGTACACATGTTGACATGTATATAAGTCTATGCATACCTTCCCCAGAATGAGACCTGCAGCTAGAGGCTAGCACGTACTTCCATGACAAATTTCCAGCTCTGATAGCTGCAGAGAAAACCCAGCTGTGACCCAAGAGAGACGTGCCTGCAGAGACTCTGAAACAGCAATCTGGAGACGAGAGGTCTGCCTCACTTCAGACTTCAGGGATTTTACCGCAGCATGCTCTAGTCCTTTTCAAAACCACCACAGAGATCAGGACTTTTGCCAGGAAACTTCCTCCGCTGGAACACACAGAAGCCCATTAAGCCTTCTGAAACTCCTGCATGTGGGCTGCCTGACAGTGTATGAAATATTGCATGCCAACATCGTAGTGTTAACTTGCAGTTACTAATGTGGTGAACTTACTATCAATCTACTACATTTAAAGAGCACTCCTTCCTTGAGACAGAATTTTTTTTTTTTTTCGTGTCTTACAGCCTGGTCAACCCCCAAGTCCAAATTTTGGTACACAAGCCATAAAATAATGAGAAATTAAGCTGGTAATGTTCTAATGACCTGAAGGGAAGTACAGACACATAATCTTACTTGCTGTACATCAGTGCTACTCCAGTGCCTTGGAAGTCTATGTTGATGATACTCAATAGCAGAACACACTTGCAACCTATGGCCAAATCTAGCAGTCAGGCTTCAAATACAGGGAGGAAGAGAGCAAGCTCAACTCTTTCAATTTCATACCATCAGATACCTAGTTACTAAAACAACAGTTCTTCCATGTCTTCAGTAAACAAACAGGATGGGAAAAGTACTAAGGTCTTACATGCTACGTGTCATATTA